CCCACACCCACACCCACACCCACACCCACACCCACACCCACACCCACACCCACACCCACACCCACACCCCACACACACCCACCACCCACACCCACACCCACACCCACACCCCACACCCACCCACACCCACACCCACACCCCACACCCCACATAGTGGAAATCCATTATGTAGCGACGTATCATTATTTTCATATGTATATAGGTTGCACAGACTCAGTCTCAGCCGCTTTCACTCATACCTATGCTCTATCCACATTCCAATCAAATGCTCATCCTCACTATACTGATTCGAAGAAAACTATTCATTGAGTCTGCAATTGAATTTTGCGTCATCGAAGTTCTCGCAAGTGATTCATTAAGTACATGGAAAAAAGCCTTTCAAATATGTAGTGGCGTGACAAATCACTGGTGTTATTGCTTCATGTTTCTATGAATTTGGTAATATGGCTTAATTGAAGATTGATGATGATACGCCTGATTGTCTGGTATAAATAGCGCAGTGAATCAATACGCAGACATTCGACACAATGAGGGTGTTGGTGGATGAAGGTTGGTGTGGGCATGATTTGCTCTTCGCTTGCACCCACACCCATAACAGATTTACTTGCACATGATGGTGATGCACAACAAGTTAGTCTTGTGATCAAGATCAGCTATGATCTACCGAATAATCGTGAGGGTTATATCCACCGGTAAAAATCAATGATTTCGAAATGGAAAGAAATTAAGTGATTTTTTTTTGTTAACTGTTGGGCATGGTGATGTGTTCAGTCGAAAAGGCGTGGCTATCAATTTTGTTACTTCTGATAATCGATATAATCACCATTAGGATTAGTGTTTTACCATCTTCTATCTATTATTATGATAACAAATCAACTGCTATCAAACTACAACTGAATTTCTTGTTTTAAATTTTTTTAGACTTGAAACGATGATAACTATCTCTATAATATGTCATTATGAAAAAGAAGCATTTCGATCAATTATGACTTCCGTTTTTTTTCCTGTTGGTTTGTCTTTCTATGTTTGTTGTTACGTTTCGTTTGCAAAACAGAAAAAAAAGGAATTATTGCATACTCTAGAAATATCTCTAAAAAGTGAACTAACTGAAAAGCATCGCTGGCACCTATGTAAAATATTTGGCAAAGCATCTGATTTTCATCGACTGATACGACTGTGGGTGGATGTAGGTGTGTTTCGAGTCCCTCGACAACAACACGAACACTACCACACTCACATCCACACCCCTCATTGATCATATATATAGTGTTACTCCATGCTTTGATGATGAGGGCAACGCAGCCATCGCAAAAGAAAAAAATTTAAAAACGAGAGAGGAAGAAAAAAAGAAAGAGTCGGTAGATACGGCATATCTCAAGTTATTTGCTTAAGCATGTCGACCTTCATGTGCGCTTGTCGTCAATGTGTTCTCTTTTGTGATCCTCTCCTTCAAAGGGCAAAAAAACATCACAACGAAATTTAAATGAGTATCGTGTAGGATGCTGATTGTGAAAGCGTGATACTTTCAATAAAGTGGGCAAAGACATTGCCATTATTGATGAAAGAAAGAGCTGAAGGTAAGCAGAATCGTTATCCATTGTACCCGTGAAAATATAATGAGACACTAATCCTTTAAAAACATTTCTAGAGACTGATAATCTTTTTAATGTGCTCAGAACTGGCCACAGACAATGAAGGCCAAGGAGTATGGAAGGGATTAGTAGAAATCAACATTTATTTTGCATCAGGATCACTACTGATTTCCTCAGTAGTCGCGAGTCGAAAAACGTTTTGTTGCTTTTGATTGAATTACTAGGTTGAGCAAAAAATTCTCGGTCATTTGCAAAAAAATTCTTTTTTATGCATAAATTTATTCAAAACCAATAACAATTATTCTTCAAAGTACAACCCATCATTCTCAATGACCTTACACCAGCGTTCTGCAAGTTGTCGAATCTGATCTCGATATCAGTGCGGCTCCTTGGACTCAAAGAATTCACGGCACGCTGCTTCGACTTGATCAAAAGTTTCAAATCGTCGTCCTCGCACAAAGTGCCCCATTGAACGAAACAAGCCATAATCAGAAGGAGCAAGGTCGGGACTGCAAGCCGGATGCGGTAGAACCTTTACACCATCAAGTTCATCAAGCTTCTCCTTGGTCAAATTGGCACGATGAGCTGGAGCATTGTCGTGTTGGAGAATGGCACGTTTTCGGCGGATCAACGTCGGGTAGCGCTGCTTTAAGACGTTGTAGACGCGCTCCAATTGCTCGCTGTACAGCTCGGCATTCACGGCTCGACCATCAGGGACCAATTCAAAGTGCACAACGCCATCGACATTCCACCAGACGCACAACGTGACTTTCTTGCCGAAAAGATCTTGACGAGCAACCGGTGGCGGATTTTGATCTCGTGGAACCCAGCGCCTAAAACGATCACGATTGACCAAGAAAATCCACTTTTCGTCGCATGTCAAAATGCGCTTCCAGGACTGATCGTCCAACGAATTGTCGAGCAGTTGGCGGCAGACTTCAACACGTCGTATAGCTTGTGCTTCAGTGAGTTCGTGAGGATCTTGTCGTGGCTTCTTGTGGACCAAATCAAACTTGTGCAGATAATTGACAACGGTCCGCTGCGCGACTCCAAGATCATTGGCCAAATCGCGAGTGCTTGATGACGGCTCGTCTTCCAAAGCGGCACGCAAGTCCTCTTCGTCCAGAACAGATGGTCGGCCAGAACGAGGCTTGTCTTCGAAGTCAAAATCGCCATCCGCGAATCGCTTTAACCATTTTATCGCGGCAGTTTTCCCGATCGTTCCTTCGCCTTCCACTTGGCAGATTTCGGCAGCAGCAGCTCTTGTAGACAGGCCTTTCTTCCAATAGTGGCAGAGCATAACACGAATTTCAAAATTATTCATCTAAATTCAAATGATGAAAATGAAATTACAAAATTTACACAAGAATAACTAGCACACGCGAGATATACAAGTTTTAAAAATGAAACACAAAAAACTTTAAAAGTAAACTTAAAAAATTAATTTTTGCAAGTGACCGCGAACTTTTGCTCAACCTAGTACTCATGAAGATCTTTACATTCAAAATACTCTAAAACAAATTGTTAGACATCTGAAAATGAGTTTTTTTATTATAAAGAAAAACATTTTTGTCAGTTTAAAACGTTTTTCAGTTAACTTTACTAGAATTCATCTTTCTATCAGTCATAATTTTGTAGATAATCAGTAATTTTTTTAAAATAAAAATAAATAAAATGAAAGCAAACTCAAAGGTATCAAAAGTTGTTTTTTTGTAGAGTCGATAGCGTTCGCTGCGAAGTACTAAATAGCAAAAAATATCGACTTCCTCCAGTGAAAAATTCAGTTTTTCTTAAAAATTGATAGCTTTGATAAGATCACAGGTTTTGAAACCGTCTTAGTTTTATACAACTTCCAAATGTGAATCCTGTAGATATTGAGTTTCAGTAAATTTCCTCGTCGAATGCTGCCATGTTTATAACGTGTGTTAAAACATAGAATTCCTATTTTCTTTTTTGCATATTGTCGTTTTTTTTCTAAATCCAATTTCTTGAAAACCCATGATAGATTAGTTGAAGGCTTTGCCAGTTTCAGGTCAAACACTTACGCAGAGCTTACACCGTCTTCTAGAGGAAAGATGGTTGAAATGAAACTCCATACCACTGTAAGTTACACTAGATGAATCAGTTCCTATGATATGTAGTGATTACATTTGATATGTAGTAATTTGATTCTTTCCAGATTCGAATAGCTAAAGTTGACAAATCGATTTTGTAAATGGCAGTTAGTCGAATGGCTTCTCTACGGTTCTCAGCCATCGGTTCTGTTGGCTACATTTCCAGGCGTTTTGAATTCAGGTTACCTGCTGAATGCATATCTCAATCGGCTAATTCTTCTTTTTGCATAAAATCAAATAATATGGGGATGATCATACAGGTAACCATGTGGTTCTCAAACAACGATGATTATGCTTGATAGTGGACTTTCACCTTAATGATACACTAGATAGTAAGAGGTATCAAGAGTCGCCAGTTGCTAGTATATAATCTTTAGTCTGGTGTATGTCAATTTCTGTTGTAGTCATTGCGTAATAGTATTATGACAGAGAACGCTTTAATCGTAGTAAGTTGAAAGCAAACTCATTAACAGACTGCTTTGAAAAAAAGAATAATTGTTTTTTGGGTGAATTTTTCGTTCATGCCAGTTATCGGAACAGTCATTAGTATGATTAAGTATGTGTACACAAGATTTACTAATTTTATGCTGATTCAATGTTCGAGAAAATCTTAGCGATAAGTTGGATTATTATTTCATCAAAATCAGCTGTCAAGCAAAATAAAGGTTCAAATAAATAAAACACTGCTCTGAGGAGTTAAATGCTTTATTGGAAGGGCAAGTGTTTGACGACTTCTCAGGTGAACTGATCGTAAAAACTACAATATTATTACCAGATGAACTCATAAGCACAAGAGAACCATTGAAACAAATATCGTCAGGGATCAGCACTAGATCAAGACACATCTATTGACTGGTATCTGATAGCAGACTTGAATTGTTCTAACAGTCGAACTTCAGTTAGATAACTTCGTAGAACTAATCCTACTCATTTGTAGTCAACCATTCACTTGATTTATTCACATTGCATCTGCTTATGGGAAAACATCTCGATTTTTTGTGATAGTTATATTGAAATTGTATTAATAATATGTGTATAGGCTACAGAGGATGGTAAAATTGTTCTGCTGTTCAGCGAATCCTTTTTTCTATTGAGCATACAGTTCTCCATAGTTCATTACTCATCATTGAGATGATCAGCAACTGAAAAATTATCTTTTTTGTCGAAGAACTTTGATTTTTTTGCTGCTGAATTTCTCAATGATAGAGTACTTCTTTGAGATTAAGTTATCATGATAATTTAATAATGAAGAAAAATATGCGTATACAAAATTTTGGTCTAAAACTTGCTTATTTAAATTTGTTGAAAACATTGTCGAAGCTGCTCTTTTCAACACCTATGTATCCTTGAAGATACGAGTTTATACGCGATGAAGTATCTAGAGACGTTTCTTCGGTAGACAATAGATATTCTAAATAGAATGATGTTATCATCAAGTGCGATCTGTATGCAGAATATGAAAAGACTTTCACAGAAACTCGAGCTTTTTTCCGTTCAACTGTTTCGGTATAGATAGGCAAAACAAATAGTTGACTTTAAACCATTGCAGTTTTTTTTCTGTACGAGAAAAAAGTTTTGTATTTAATTTCTGTGAGAGGAGAATGCGATATACCTTGGATCAATTATTGTGTCATTTGAATGTTTTGCTTCTTCGCTTCATCAGTTAAGGTCTATTTCTTGGGAGCAAAGTGAAGTGATTGAATCAAATCACCATGTGCCTGTCAAGAGTTGTATGATTCAGAAAAATGTTTTAGGAAAAGGCGTTTTCAGGCTAGTATCCATTCTTGACACATTTCAAATCAGCGATTATCAACTGCGTAGGTTGAAATCGAGTTTACATGAAATGACTGTTAAATATTCACATAGACGACGTTAACATCTTTTGTATTAGAAACGAAGCTTCAGTATACAAACACAGATATCATCTATTCGATGCAAATATGATGACGGCATCGATATTCACAATCAAACAGTCGAAATTGATCCAGTCGAGCACATTCGTCGATGTACATTATATAAGGATATTAATATTCATTCATACTACAAATCAATATGTCCTGATGTACGTACTCTCGGTGACGTCTTAGATTACGGTCGACTCGTTTCGAAAGATGGTCCATGTTTGGGATTCGTTCAATTCGAAAATAAGACAGAACCAATTCGTTGGTTGTCCTATTCAATGGTATTGGAGCAAGCAAATTTCATTGGTACTCATTTATGGACAAATGTTAAGCTCATTCCATCAAATTCGAAAGTAGCGATCATGTCGACCAATCGCCCAGAATACCCAATCGTAGCATATACCTGTTACATGTACGGCTTTATTGTAGTTAATTTCTTTACAAGTTATGATCCGAAGATAACCATGGATTTACTTCGAAAGACACAAGCAGAAGTCTTAGTTATCGATAGTTTGACACGTATTCGATCATTTGAAAAGCAGTTGACTGAGAACGATCAAATCAAAGAAATTATCGTCATGGATGACATAAACGATGGTGAGCACAATAAAATTCGAAGTCTCTCATCAATTTTAAAGACAATGAATAAGGCTGATATACGACCACGACCCGCGCTTGATCCAGATAGTGTTGCTACGTTTCTTTTAACAAGTGGAACAACAGGTAAGAAAAGAGACGAAAAAAAAAATTTCAAGCAGATAGTTGAACTCAATCGATAGACTTCATTTCATGAGTATAACTTTTAAAGAGATTTGTTTCCATTGAAAAATGATTCATTCAGGCGAAATCTGTCAAAATTATTTTTGAAAGTTAATCTCGAAAGAAGATTTGATCATGCTCATGTACCAAAGAAAAAACAAAATATTATTTGTGTTGTAAAATAAATAACGAAAAATTTCATTACATTTGTCTGTTTTTCTGTTTTTATAACAAGATATTCATGGGAAAATGACGAACGTAATTATTTCTCGAGAAATGCATCAGTTCATGTTTTGATATCTATTGATTCAGAAGAAAACTGCTTCAAAATTTTCCGTTTCATCAGTTAATTTTAGAATTTTGATTTACATCGACTTAAATTCAAAGCCATTCGACTACCACTAATAATTGTTTCAAAGTTTAAAAATATGAAGAAGACTATCAGATAGCAAAAATCAAGTTCATTGAAATCAGACAAAGCTCGATTTGCTAGCCTGTTTGTATCATAAGTGATAATATCGCGTTACAGGGTATGCAGACTACCATTTTTGTACATGTATTTATTGCAGAAGTTCGATTTTGACGAAATTTGATTCGATTAGTCTTAATTTCTTTGCAAGCCGATTGAAAACAATGAATATATGCATTTACATTCAATATTACTTGAATAAGTTCTCCTAGAGGAGTGGTTAAAAGTGGTGTAAGCGACGTTGAAACTCTCGGAAAAAGCATTAAAAATTCAAACTATTAATTTCAAGATCATTTTCTCGAATGTTTCACGCTTGAATCGAGAGAATAGGAAAACCCATAGATATAAGATAACATTTGTTGCAGGTGAACCAAAGATTGCTATGATAACCCACGATAACTTTATGGCAGGAATGAAATCTACAATTGATCGTGAAAAACGTGCAGACATCTTGTGTAAACCTTCAGATCGTCATTGCTCGTTTCTACCCGTGGCTCATCTCTACGAACAAGCTGCATTGCTGCTTATGTTTATTAACGGAAGTCAAATCGTTTGCTGCCCGACTCCTGACAAGCTTGTAGAATACTATGCACTAGTAAAGCCTACTCGGGTTTTTATGGTGCCTCGTGTTCTCAATAAGATATATGACAAAGTCATGAATGAAGTTGACAAAAGTAAAGTGAAACGATTTCTTGTTCAACAAGCACTACGTCAAGAGCACGCATCGTTTCTGTCGCGTATAGTCTTTCGAAAAATAAAGAAACTTTTCGGCGGTAAAGTGTCATCATTACTATCTGCATCCGCACCAATTTCGCGTGACGTATTACATTTTTTCCGTATTGCATTGGACGTTCCCATATATGAGATCTTTGGACAAACAGAATCGACGGGCGTCAACATAACTACACACGTAAGTGACACGTCATGTGGAACAGTTGGCACACCCGTATGCACCGTAGAAATCAAATTGATCGATATACCCGGAACGAACTATCGAAGTGATAATGGTCAAGGTGAAATCTGCCTGCGTGGACCCCCTATTTTTAAAGGCAAGTACTATTTTATTTACAATTATATAAAGATACATCTCAATATAAGAGTCATCGATTGAAGTTTTCTGCTTTGACAATGCAATTGATAGACTTGCTCACAAGATATAAGCGACATAACGAACACCATGTACCGTTATATCTTTAGCCAGATCCGATAAGACTTTAAATGCTGCGAAGTTATTTTTAAATTTTTGAATTCTTTGAATAGGGTATTATGGTGATGAAGCAAAAACAAAGGATATAATTGATGACGGTGGTTGGCTACATACAGGTGATGTTGGTGAATGGACAGCAAATGGTACATTACGCATCATTGATCGTAGCAAGCACATTTTCAAATTAAGCCAAGGTAAGTATGTTGCACCTGAACGTCTTGAAGAAATATATCTTCGTTCTCGATGGGTTTCTCAAATCTTTGTCGATGGTCGTCCAATACAAGCAACAGTCGTGGCTATTATTGTACCTGATAAAGAGTACATTGAACAGAATTACGCTTCGACAGCACCAAAATCATTCGAAGAATTATGCAAAAGTGACGAGTTCAAAAAATTCATTATGAACGACCTACTTCATTTAGCTGAAGAAAATAAGCTGCAATACTTTGAAACCATCAGCAATATTTATATTTCCCATGAACCATTTTCCCAGGAGAATAATCTAATCACATCAACCCTCAAGATACGACGAGCCATGGCTCGACAACGGTTCCAAACGATCATCGATTCACTCTACAATGTTACCGAAACAGAAACGAAATAAACAAAATGCAAAAACAGCAGCATTTGTAATATATGCACTTACCATACATATAGAACTGTGATTTTATTTTATTTTTTGTCATTTGTTGTGAATCTAGATAAATTTCAAAACTATAGCACAATTAAATAGTTAGCTTCTACGATACAAAGAATTTGAAAAACTCTTCGGTAACATTTCCTAGTCATGTATCTATCATCATGTTAACACTAATTCGAATTATTGCTAACAAAGAATGATTTTCTATTTGTATAACCAACTCAAATTCATTAAAATATTTTGACACCAAACGAACTATTTGATCATTACCGAAGAAAGTGGGTATTCTGGTGGATTTAATGCTAATGTTATGAAAATGATAGAAAATTACTGTATATTAAGAATATTATTATCGATATCCTTACAACCGTATATTGATTGAATAGAACAAATAAGTATGTCGCTGATGAAGATAATTCAACCATACATACCTTCCTCATGAATTCAACGTATATTTATTAGTATAATTTGGATTGAATCAAAACAAAAAATTCTTCATGATTGTTTTGATGATTAAGTAGATTATTTCAAAACTCGATATCCAACTAAAATGACTTGTTACTCTGCTTTTTATTTTCTTTGAATAAAAAAAACATATTCGAATGTATTCAATTGTCTTAATTAGAAGTTTATTTAACTGATATTATTTCAAAAAACGTAAAAGATTTTTGCTAAAATGAAGATTGAATACCAAGATTATTCGAAGAATGTCTTTCATTAGGGTTGGATGAACTTGTTCGTTTATCTTGGAACTAAAACACTTTTTCCACCACGAGATTATCAACAACAAAATATATAATAAAGTGGTGCACAAAAATTTTCTCAAGTTTATTTCTCAACAATATTTGCGTGATTAAATCCGACTCCATTCTTCTCTCGATAGACATTTTTCAATAATTGTTCACAATTAAGTCGATAAAAGATCGAATAAATGATGGATTTCCGAAGATTCCAATTCATCTCCCTCAATAAAATCTTGACCAGTTGATTATACAGACATTTGTTTTAATGAATTGGATTCTATGAAAAAACAACATATTTGAAAGAATAAGTGAAGAAAAAATTCTCAAACGATGATCAATACTTATGATACAAGGGAAGAAGAAAAAGTCTAACATAATTATTCAAGAATGCTCAAGTCAGAACTAAAGCAGATGATTGGCAGCATATTCAAGCTTGCGTAACACCTTAAAGACCATTGGCAAATTTGACAGAGATTTCTTTATAAAGCATGTTTACAGCTTTCTACGATGCACCTTCTGAAAGAAGAATAAAGATTTTCTCACTTTCTCAAGGTTACACATGCAAAATAAGAACATCTACCATATACTTTGTTTTTCATTTTGAGTATGGAAGAAACCATCAGAACGAGCCAATTCGGATCTGTTCATACAGTTTTTTGTAGAGTTTTTCACGGCTGATCTTCTGAAAAAAACCAAGAGTCTATCATTTGCCTGTGCAGAAATATTTGCAAAATAAAACTATGTTTTTTTTAGCGCACCTGCTATTTCACAAACTTGTTTCACGTTTTTCTCAGAACATGGGTTCGACGGAGTATCTCCAACGCCATTCGATCGCGGTACTATATAAAGTCAAACTTTTTTTTTGTTTGAAAGCTCGTGTTTGGGGCTAGCCTACCTCGTGGCCCTTTTTTTAAAATAAGCCCTTTTATTATTATATAAGAAGCCATCTCTATAGAAAAAGCCCTATTTTTTAGGGTTTTTTGGAGTCATTGAACTTGTCATCCCTTTCCTTCGCTTAAAAAGTATGAATTTAAAAAAAAGGGCCACGAGGTAGGCTAGCCCTAGAGACAAGCTTTCAAACAAAAAAAGAATTAAATCACTAGAATGAAGACCCACAGAGAAAACTTGGAGATACTATTGAGCTATTTTTGACCCTTGTTTGGTAAATATCTCTGTTAAACATCGTGCTTTAGGGCTGAAAATTTTACCATAGCCATGACTCACCAGCCCCAACATACCCTGAAAGTTTCATGCAATTTGGATGTTCCTGGCCTGAGATCGATTTTTGAGGGGGGGGGGGGGGCCTTAACATTGTTAATTTAAAAAAAAAAAACGCCAATAATATGAAGAACTTAGCACTTTAAGAAAACC